GAGCAGCAAAGCTGCTTAGCTGGGCCTGCTAACCAGCTTGAGAGGATTGAGGAGCTGGGCTAAGCCCCCCACGGCCATCCCTCCCACCCTGGGGCTCCAGGCCTGCCTCTCCCTGCGTAGGAGGAGCTGGGAGGACCCCGTGGGGCTCCCCCCTCTGCCCTGGGGCTCCCTTCTCCCAGTCAGTGCCAGCCTGGGCTCCCTTCTCCCAGTCAGTGCCAGCCTGGGCTCCCTTCTCCCAGTCAGTGCCAGCCTGGGCTCCCTTCTCCCAGTCACTGCCAGCCTGGGCTCCTTCTCCCAGTCAGTGCCAGCCTGGGCTCCCTTCTCCCAGTCAGTGCCAGCCTGGGCTCCCTTCTCCCAGTGCCAGCCTGGGCCCTGGGGCCCTTGTTTGTGAAAGGGGAGAAGAACGGCTAAGCCAGGGCTGGCTCCCCCTCCTGTGCCCTGAGCTGCCCAAGACACTCCTGGCTATCATTTAATCACAGGCATTTGGGGTTGGCTCCTTCTTCCCTCCTCCTTTTACATAGTTGTCTCTCCCCAGGAGCAGCACTGCACTGGGCCAAGCAGCTCCCACCCCCTGTTTTTGCCAGGGCTACAAATTCCACGGGGCTTCGGGAAACCAATCCCGAATGTCAGAACATGGAGGTGCTTCCAGCAGGGTTTGCACACCTTGCCTAGTGCTGCTCTAGTCCTGACCAAAGCTGACCAGCACAGGAGGCCTCCAGGCTCATCAGGCCTTTCCCACAACTGTTTGCTGGGAAAACCTCTTCCACTTCCACCAAAAAGGAGGAGGGAAGCACACACGGTCTGGACTTCAAAAGGAACTTGATTTTCTTGGCTCTGGTTCCTGGTTAAAGGCCTATTTCTAAAGGCTTTAAAGATTTTAAAAACCGAAATTAATTTTAGTTTTGTTTCTGGTTTTGCTTTTAAAAAGCTGATTTTATGAGGCATTTAATGAATTCTATTAAACACTCACCTGATGTCTCTCATAAATAACAGGAACACTGAAGAGCGAAATCAAAGCTGGAAAAGAGCACATCAAAGGTATAAGTATTGACAACTGGAATGGTGTTCAGGCAAAACAAAGACTGGTTCCCACCCCTTGACATGTCTGGCCAAAAAGTACAAGAAATAACTAAGCCCCAGACAGAAATTGTTGGCCAGTTAATGAAATAATCCCCATTAAGGAGAGCCTGGGCTGTTCTCCAGGGCTCATTGAACAGGAAGTCTGGTCACAGGTCACTTTTTCACTGGGGGTTATGCAAATCCTTCCCAAAGGTTGCTCAGGCATCACTTGGTTCTGACACCTGAATCCAAGGAACAAAACCGCAGTGGGACAGATCCTGTACCCACCCAGAGAGCCAGCACGGCCAGGACACCCAGGGCAGCTCACCCTGCCAGGGACGAGCACAGCAAACAGGCCTGGAAATACAAGGGCTGGAAAATCAGCCTCAAAAGGGCCTGGTGTGCAGCGTTACCAAAGCCCTGGGAAAAGACCCCCAAGGTAACATTCTGAGGCCACAGGAATGGCCTCCCAGTGTGGCCCAGAGCTTCCCCAGTTCCCCCAGTGCAGGAGCTGAGCAGAGCTGGCAGCACTTACCCAGGATCAGCAGTGTCAGACCATTGAACAAGGCACCGACATAGGTGAACACCCACATCAACACTGCGAACTGCGGGGGCAAAGAGAGCCTGTGAGACAGCTGGGACCCACCCACCACTGTCTGTGAACATCCACAGCACACCCCACTGTCTGTGAACACCCACAGCACACCCACAGCACACCCCACTGTCTGTGAACACCCACAGCACACCCACAGCACACCCCACTGTCTGTGAACACCCA